TATCATTAGAAGTACTATTGGTTCTCATCAGACATCTCCAACCTCGTAGTAATTATAGCCACTCGTCGAAAAAGTAAAGTATGATGAAGTTCAGTATGGCTGCTACGATGAACGCCTCACCCTCACCTCACCCCTACGTTCAGTGATTTTCAAAGGAACAGAAAGAAATCTCCTCCTTTTCGGCGTTTTCCTTTCGATACTTTCCTTCTTCCATTATCCGCTTTCGACGTTTGCCTTTTCGGCATTTTGTTCTTCTACATTTTTCACTTCGACGTTTTGCTATTTTTTTATCGACATTTTTCCTTTCGACGTTTCCCGTCAACCCCATATAATTTAGCTTTCCATGAGGTTATTTAGATATTTCTAAACAACAAACATTGCATCAGCATAATCAGTTAATCACAAACTATTGAACTTTGAAGTTGCTAGATGTAGAATACAAGCCGTGAGGTCTACGAAAATCTAACATCACCACTGTACTATATAAAATAACAGTTTTGCAGTATCAGATAACAACATCAATTGGTTAAAAGTGTAATTTGATTTACGAAACATCGACCTTAACTTATTAAAATTTTACTTAATTAAAGGATGTCTCAAAAATCGGCGGCCTCAGCAGTTCGTCAATGTCCCCTTCAGTTCTCATTTGTCATATGCAATTGTATTATTCTCAGGCAACGGATTGAAGTGGAAGAAAGGTGTGTCAATTTAAAAGTTGGCTGATAAAGTGGATATTTCCCAAATAAGTGTTCATTGGCTACTCAAAATGATGTAACTTAGAACTTCGGTTCTACAAGAAAACAATCCAGCCATTACTCACCAACTAGAAGGGGTATGACGGGCAACATATGTTAATTTTAGTTGTAGTCAAAGTTTTAGCTTGGGACTTTCTAACAAACTAGAAGAATTGAAAGAAATTACAAATGCCCACCGAATGTCACTGTTTCAGGAAAAATCTGCTAAAAATTTAAATTAATTTTGTCACCATCTTGTCCCGATATAAATATGACTTTGTTACTAAAGTTTGTCACGCGAAATAAAGTGAAAATGCGACTGATTGTCTAAAAAAATCTACTGATTGTAGATATATTTCTTTTTCCATTTCTTTAGATGATGCAGTATTTTATTTGTATTCATAAGAGATTTCGCACATACAGGAGTTTACCTGATGTATAATCAGAGTTAAAACTTAGTCCAGCAATGGTAGCGAGGTTATTTATTGAAGTAAACGCTGGAGAAGAATTGTATGATGATCCTCACACCTTCTTTGTATCATACTCCACTCTACTAGTGGAATGCATTCAATCTTTGTTTTTTATGTACTTATAAGCAATCAACAAAAGTATATTTATTCAAGTATTTTCTTATCAAGAAAAAAGAAAAAGTGAACAAGATCAGTTTGTTTCAACAAACACAAATTCTTTTTCTTTCTTCATTACGTTATTTTAAAAACCATCCAAGCAACCGCAAACATCATGATGAAACAATAACAGAATTTTTCTTTTTTACAACTTCAAACTGCATTAGTATTCATTCTTTAGTTTTCAACGTATTCATTGAATTATTCAAGTATGTTATGTAAAATCTTGCCTTACTTTTCTGATTAAACTTAATATTTAGATTTCATGTACAAATCGGCGTATGATCCTTTTACTTCCGATTACGGGTATGCAGATCCCTATCGGTCCATCGTCTCTGCTCTCTGTCCTTATACTGACAGTTTACATCAGACAAGTCGAGATTTTCTTCATCAAACAAACTCCATAAAACATGATCTTAACTTAATCCGTAGAGAATTGAAAGAAATACGAAGTTCAAATTCAATAACCCCTATGAGATCGTGTTTACTATGTGAAACAAGATACCGTAATCATAGTCGAATGTTGTCACCGTCTTCTCACTGTCATGACACTTATATTGATGGTAATGACACATTTCGTTATTCGGGTGATGCTCATGTCAAAGAGCGCTCCTATTCACCTTCATTACTATATCAGCACCGTTTACCTTACAGTTCAAGTGATAATGATGATGAATCAATCTACGATAATCGAAAGAAATACATATGTAAGCCAACGACTAATTTCAACTATTATCCGTCTTATAAATCCGAGAAGAACTATCCATCATATTCAAATCAACGTTCGTTGGTAAATCAGTTGGAAACACGCGTTCCAGAATATCAACTACGACAAATATCTACTGCCTACGATTATCCATACAGACATTGGAATTAAAGACAAGTTTAAATCTTGACAATGATATTTCGATTATCTCTACTAGCACTACAATGAGTATTGAAAGAGTTTTATAAGGTTGTTTTGCCCAGTAAATCTAATAATAAAATAATTATTTGAAAAAACAGATTTATATGCATAATGAACTTAAAAGGCATCAGACTCCAGCGAAATATTTTGTGATTAACAGAGGATGGTAGAATAGAGTCTAGCCTTTGTTAGCATTCAGCGAGCTCATTTCTTCAAGAGTACGTGACAGACAAAGTAAAAAAATCTCAAAATTTACATTGTTTGTAATGGTACATTTCATTATTGTAAGGTCAATCAAATGCATCTCATCGTCGTTTCTACTTAGTTTCACCAGCTAGCAGTGTTACTCTACTGCCTAGAATGAAAAAGAAATATCGACCTTGTGAAAGTCTCTAATAAAATAATGATCATGACAAATATGACTTACAAAGGATGAAAGACTTATTTTGACGTAGTGAAGCACCATGAATACATACCACATGAAATAGCAAATGTAAGAATATGTGAGGTAACAAGATTCAAGACATTTAGATGTCCATTTGCATCAAATTTTATTTTCCATACCCAGGTCGAGGACTCAAGACCGTATACTACAATATACGTCAAATTACGACGAAATACGTCAGTCGTAAACGTTGACAGATACGACAATATGTAAACGATGAACTACGAGGCAGTTACGTTAGTCGT